TATTATCGTATTTCCCATTTACACTAAAAACTTCTTTCTTATTATGTTCATTAAGTTACCTACTGATCTTGTTCTGTAATATAGGGATCTTTCTATAGTTCTGATTTCCCATTGTGCCAAGAAGTTAGGAAAATATGATGAATACGTGGAAAACCAGTATTTTTTTCTTAGCAAAGTATTGTATTTTGTGTTAAAATCAAAACTTAAGAGTAAAAACCAGGAGTAATGATGATCTAGAGCACTCAATCTGTCTGTGCTGTGAATGCTGACACTAGAAGGGGGATGTATGAGTCAGAGCTTCAGTTAAGAGTTGTGCTCCTCACGTGGAGCTGAGCATCATGAGGCAGAAATCCATCATCAGGCTGTCAGGCAGCCTGGGGAGGGGCAGCTCTCCCTTGTCCCTGCCTACCGCCAGCCTTCCTTCTCACCCTGCCACCCTCCATGGCATCCCATCTGCCCTGCTGAGGGTCATGGCTCAGTGCCAGGTGAATTTACATTACTTAGAGGGGATTGGTGTTTTGCAATGTCAGTTTTATAGAAACTCTTGAATTATTTGCTTAGCAAGTGGGAATTACTATTTTGTACTGAACTAGGTATGGTGTGATGGAGGTGTGAATGAGGGATTGCTTATATAGCAAGTTCTGGTGTGCTTTTTTTTAAGTTTTGTATGCTTGATGTTGTATGTGTGTTAGTAATGTGAACAAGATGGGATCTAGATAGTATTTACTAATGTCAGGGTTTTTCTGTTACTGACATCGAGGATTCACAAACAAAAGGACGAGATTTCAGTGAGCCTGCTCAATAGACAAGAAATAGACTTCATATGGGGGGCAGGTGGGTTTGGAGTAATATACTCCCTAAAATTGGATGGTTTTCAGTAGTTGCATAGAAACAGGCAAATGTTACTGTCATATTATATAGTAAATTTTAAAAGCGTGTCCCTTTGGTTACTGTTTAAAGTAAGGGATATCTTGAAACTTTGCAGAAGTATATGCAAAGAATTAAATCTTTAAATAATGATGAATGTGGTTGAGTTGCATTTTTCTCTTCTGATGTAGACCCATATTTTGTTGGTCATTAATCTGCTCAGTTATAGTACCTAACATTGGCCATAGTGTTGCTGTTCAAACTTAGATATTTATGTTCAGTCCCAACCATTTGTTCTATTTTCTGTGAGAGATAAATTGAGTTACATCGGTACGAGTCATTGCATACTTATATTCTGCTGGTTGGGATATATATATTGTTGTTCCCAGGTACTAATAAATGTATTTAACATTGTACAGGTACTAATAAATGTAATTAATTTACTTGTGCAGCTTCCATAACAGCTCAGGCTCTTGCCTTACTCCTATTCCTTTATTTGGCGTATAGATTTTCTTAAATGTATGTTTGCTGAGAGGAATTATTGGTAGAAGTTCTTGAAACTTAAAGTTTATAAACCTCCAAGCAACCAATATCAGTTTAAAAAAAAAAAAAAAAAAGGGGGAAGGTTTCAGGTGAGAGTTAAGATTAAAAAATTAATCTTGGTTTTGTTTCCTTGTTTTCTAAAAATATCTTTCTCCTTCTGTTCACTGTTATGAAAAATTAATTCAACCTACTTGCCTGCCCCATCTCTAGTGTGGGAGTGGGTAAAGTCTGTCTAGGTAGGATTTACTAGTGCCAATTCCATGCTGCAGTCCTTCGGACAGTGCTATTTGCTGTTTCTGCAATTAGATACTCAGTTAGAAATGATATTTCATTTGCAGGACTTAGAAACATTCCTACTGCTGAAAACTATTGGGGGAAAAAAGATACTTATTTATATACCCATTTCTGTAGGTACAAACTGACTGTGAACATGTTACTTTGCTGCATCTACATGCAAAACCAATTCTGGATATAATTATATTATTAAAAAACAGAGGAATTGGAATCTACAAGGTCTCAGCATTTAAGAACACTTATAAGGCCTTGATAAAACTTGTATTTTTGGAGTTAAAACTGAATATTTAATTTTCTTAAACACATCTGCACAGGATAAACAGGATTAAACAGTTAGTGATGGAGAACCTTGATTATAGCAACAGGAATGCTGTCTCGTTCAGAAGAAATAATCAGTCACTATTTTCGTCTCTTTAATTGCAACAGTTCTTAAATAATTACTGAAAGACAGCAGAAGAACTTTGCATATAGCTTTCAGTAAACCCTTTCATTTCACAAAATCCATTCTTAACTAAAAAGCAGAGTAGAAATATAAACAGATTATCTACTGTCTGCACTTTATTTGTGTCTGTTGCTCTCTGTTAATGTCAAAGAGATGTATGTTGTGGTATTAACAGGTCTGACGTGGATTACTTTCAAATGCATTCTCTTTCTCTTGATTCCCATCTCCTGGGCCTGAGCAGTGATATAATTACTGCTCTGTCTCCTTGAAGAAAAAGAACCTGGAAGAAAAGGAGCCTGCAATCTCCTTACTTTGCAGCCTTGCATTCTGTCTACATGATATTTTCATGCATTTCAACTTGATTTAAAATGCAATTTATTTGCAGTTTGTATTTCACTGATTTCTCTTAAAAATAAAATGTTATTTGTACGTTTGATACATACAATTTTTTTAAGTCTTTCTATGTTCAATTTGGAGATACTGATTTATATTTATCTAAATTTAGGGTTGAAATACAGCATATTGTACATGCCATTGTCTTTTAATTGTAGGGAGTGCTGAACAACTTTTAGTTCTTACAAAATCAGGTTCTTACTCTTGAAATATGACCAATTTATCTAATACAATTCTTTGTGGGTGTGGGTTTGCATGGAATATGCCACAGCAAGTGGTGACATGTAATCTCCCTTTTGAGGAGTATGTATTGTACTTCTAAAATACCTGCTGACAATAGCTGCCAAAATTAGGTAGAAAATTGAGAGTAAGAAGATATTTGAAACAAGAACTTCAAATCTTGCTTGCCACGGATTTGTAAATGAGTATCAATTAAAATCTTAATATGGTGCACACAATGCTTTTTTTTTTTTTTTTTTTTTTTTTTTGAGATTCTATCTGCTCATAGTTTATATCCCATATCATGAAGGGCATTCTGGCAATATTCTAAAAGGCTACATGCACTCAAAGATTTTGTTTTATATTAAGACTTAGTTTCTGAAACTTAAAGAGAAATAGAAATTCTGTTGTTTTCTGATGCTACCTTCAAAGACATATTCAAGGTGAATAATTTTTATGAATGCTGCAATATTTTCAAACCACTTTTGTGGAAGAAGAATCCAGCTATTGGTAGCCCTAGATGCAGTGTGAAAGAAGGACGCAGCACTGCTTCACTGTGGGTAAAATGTGAGTTCTACTCTCTTTGAGTTAGAAGTTTCAGTATTGCTTTTTTCTGTCGTTTCTTCCATAAAATCAAGATGTAGTTTTCCATCAGGAGCTAAATAGCAGTGTCTCAAGCCAGCATGGCTGAAGAATGGCAGAGCTCTGGCTCCTCTCTAGTGCCTCCCCTTCAGTTTTTTCTTGTTCTTCACAACTGCAAGTCAGGTTTTGTTTTCCAGTATGGAATTCAAAGTACAGTTGTTTAAGTATTGTGTTAGAAACTCAAGCGGCATAAAAATGGGGAAAAGCCTTTAAAATGTAATTGTACCTAGTAGAGAACTACTAAAAGCTGCTCCGTGTCATGAGTCTTTAATTACAGAAGTTAAAAGGTTGGTACTTGTGATTTTCCAGATGATTGAAGGCATTCAGAGCTTTTCAAGTCCGTGCCACTTCTCAGCTCTCCTCCCACCTCTATTTTTTCATTCTCCTTTGGTCGCCTCAGTGTGTGAGTCAGAGAGAGATGAAAAGAAATAATTACCAAAGCAGAAGAACACGGAATGAACAAATGAGGTATTTTTAAAAATATTGTCAGGATTTGAGCTATACTTAGCACTCCTTTAGCTTTGCAGAACAATGGAGAGTTACATTGTATTTTGAGTTAACACATATGTGCAAGTTACACAATACTAAGAATATTCCTAAAAAGCATTTATTGATCCAGCTCAAAATGTGTGAAAGAGAGAAGCCTTTTAAATCAAACAGCATGAATTTTTTATGTTTTGGGATCTTTGGTCCTTCTTTCTATTCTTCACCTTTTAAACTTGTATTAATAGACTCTCTACCGAGATTTTGATTTATAACAAATAGTTTTTCATTGTAATATATTTATTTTTTTCTCTCTGTTGAGGAGTGATCCATACTTTGTCAATCATTTGATTCCTCTTGTGATGATAGTCAGCTTTCTTTGAATGTTTGAGAAAAAGCTTATAAAGAGCTCCCTTTGAATGGTCACTGGGGAGGATATGGAAGAATTGGATTAAATTTTGTCTTTGGTTTAAGAAGGATTTAAACAGATATTTCTCATGATGTCTCAAGGTCTCAGCTTTGAGGTAAACAGCAGATGTGAGATGAGTATGGTCTGCCATTGCACATTAAAAAAAAATTAAGGTTTGTTTGGCCAGACGAAGCCAGTGTGAACGTGACTCTGAAGACTTGTCATTTAGAACCTTTCCTAGAAAAGGAAATTTTTGAAGGACATTTTTGACTCCAGTTCCAATTCACAGTGCTGCTTGTGTGTGTTAGTCCCGTGACAGTTTACTCATTTTTTCCATGTATGCATCCTTACTCTGCTTTAAGTTTTGACGTGTTTGATGTTAACAATGTGTCAATTTTTGCTGGGCTGAATCTCCTTACAGTTGTCAGTGGGCAACTTTTCCCTTCTTTCCAGTGGGCTGTTCTCCTGCCTTTCCTTGATTTCCATGCATACAGTCTGCCTATCTATCCTGCATTCTGGTGGCTTTTTTTGTCTCAATTTCTTTCTGCAGTTCTGGGATGAGGATGATTTGAGTGCTGGACCTCTAGAAAGAGGCCTAGATTTAGCTAAGGTAAAGAAGCCTGCTTAGGAAATTGATGAGGAGTAAAAGTGAAAGTTTTCAGTATTAGTAATTATGATCCAATAGAAGTATAATAATATCTCATTTTTGGCAAGTATTACAGCTTTTAATGACAGATATTAACTCTACAATGCAAGTGATGATAAACAAAATAGAAATGGGTGTTTTGGTTTTCACTTTCCTGATGGATGCATAAAAAATTATACTGCATAAGTAATAATAAATTACACCATGTCAATTTGTATTTAAATTATCACAAATTGTATTTCCACTGCATAAAAGCAAACCTTTTAATGACCAATTGCCTCTGCTACTAAAGTGTTTTGTAGTGCTAAATCATTTCAGTATATCACTTCTCTTTGCCTTTTATAGAGTCTGTGTTTAACTGACAACTTTAACCAAGAGTTGTGTCTGGAAGTTGCTGTGCTCAGATTGATTGGTGTGTAAATAGCCTGTAATACTTTCTATGCAAATATATAAAATTTTATTTAAGATAGAGGTGTATGAGTAGGGGAGATTAAAATCTGTGTTAAACTAGTGTAATTACAGAATCAGTGGAAGGGTTTAAAAATAGCTAGTCTCAGATGGTATTTGATAAAGGTAATTAATGCATGAAGAGTAATGAAAAAAACTTTTGTTCTGCTGCTCTCCTGTATTGCTTCAGGCTTAACGTTTTACTATCAAAATCTGGTCTGGAAACCTCCCTGTGATGGAAACTTGTCTGCTGCAGAAATGAAAAAAATGTTGCTAGTTACCTCTAAATAGATACATTACTAAAGAAATATACTATTTTGAAAGGTGTTGGTTTGTGAGCTTGATATGTTTTAACCATTCATAGCAGTGTTGCATTTTTGGAAGACACACTGTCCAGAGTGATGTGTTAATAAAACATGACATTTTATTAACTGGTCATGTATATAGTTTTAATATTAGCAGCAAATAAATATAAAGGGAATGTTAAGCTGGTGACCATAGCTCACTGTGTGGATATTCTTGTGTGAAAGCCTTGGTAACTAGCTGTTGCCATGAAGGTCTGCAGGGGGTACTGTGAGCAGATGTATCCCGCTCAGTACATCAGGCAGAGCATTTCAGGCAGGTGAAGGGGGGTGATCCTACCCCTCTGCTTAGCCTGGTGAGGCACAGTGTTGGCTGCTGAGCTCCCAGGACAAGAGAAGCATGGCCATGTTGAAGTGAATGCAACACCGGGCCACAAAGATGACCCATTGTTCAAGGAGAGGTTGAGAGCTGGGATTATCTACCCCCAAGAAGAGAAGGCTCAGGGAGAATTTACCCATATGTACAAATACCTGGTGACAGGAGGTGTTAAAGAAGAATGAGGCAGAGACAGTGTTATCCAGTGACAGGACAAAGGCAGTGGGCTTGATCAAATGGGAAGTACAGGAAATTGTTTAATGATGAGAAAAAACTTTTTATCGTGAGTGTGGTGAAACACTGGAACAGGCTGCCCCCAGTGGTTGCTGAGTCTTCATCCCTGGAGATACTCAAACACTGACTGAACATGGTCCTGAGCAACCTGCTGTAGCTGCCTCTACTTTGAGCAGGGGGTTGGACTAGACTGTCTCCAGAGGAGGTCCATTCCAACCTCAACAACTCTGTGACTCTTTTGATGAAAAAATTCTAAAGCTGCAAAAATTTAGCTGTATATTTCTGTACTGATAAGAGTTTTTTAAGCTACGTTGATTATACCTCAAGTTTTCTTCCATGGATCAGTATTTCTCTGTGCTTATAAGAAAGCTCTTCTGTGAGTTTTTTTGCTTATTTGGACAGGTGAATTTATCTTTTCAGGGATGAGATGAAGATTTTAGAAAGGATATGTTTTATTCAATTTGGCAGTCTGAACATATAATTGAAACAAAATCATTGATAGAGTCACTTATGAGGATCTAATATTCTGCTAGCTGCCTAAAAAGAGGGAATGTATGTGCCTGTTTCAATGGCTCCGTTGCTGGGGCGAATTCCCATGTGAAGCAAAAGTGGATATTTAAAGTGTCAAGAGTGTGCAAGTTAACAGTGTGTGGGTTAAAGTTAAGGGGTTACCCTTGGGTATTACCATTAGGGATTACCTTGTCAGAAAGGTTACCTTGTAAAAAGGTAAATGTGAATATTTTCTATCTCCTCCTACTGACTTGCTCTGTAGATACTGAAGTGACTACTACTTGCTAGGTATCTCACTCCACTTGCAAGCTAAGCGCCTCTGTATGGAAGCAGGCTCTGTGTATTCACACACAGTGGAAATACAGAAACTTTGGAAGATCCTGGCAGCTGTCAGGGAAATAAGTATTGATCACCAGGTGCCATCCTTATGAACCAGACAGCTGAGCTGGAACAAATTCTCACCACAGCAGGTGACTTTCAGCCAGAGTTAGGAGCCTGATTCCTGAATGGGATATTCATTGACCAATTTCTTCTTCCCTTCTCCAAGGCTTCTTGGAGAACTCCAATCACTATAGCAGAGGTCCTAAATAGAAGCAGAGATAGGACAAGCTACATTGTACGTCTGAAGGCTGCATCCAGGAGGCACAGCCAATGATGGTGAAGGGATGTTTAGAGGTCACCTAGTCAAGCCTTTTTCTCAGAGCAGTGAGCAGTGTGAGCGTACATGTATAGAGCACATCTCAAAGAAAAATAGCTAGCATTAAGATTTAATTATTCTTACATCTCTTTGATGAAGACGAGTGGCAGTACTGTTAGTGTAACTGTGACCAAGCAGTTCTTAGTGTGCATAGCACGTGTGCTGGCAATTCACTGCAGCTTACCTGGCAGTTAAGTCCCAGCATGGACAGGTCTGAAGTTCCAATTCCCACCATCATTCTGCATCTGTTAGGTTTTGGAAATACATATTTTCTTTAGAACTAGGGAGATTCCAAAAAGCTGGAAGACTGCAGGATAAATTGAGCCTATCATACATTATCATAGAATGATCCAATTATCGTGAATTTTTAGGAAAATATTAGGAACAATTTTGCTTAATTTGATGGTGGAATGCTTAAAAAGTAGGTTTGAACAAAGCTAGAGACATTTATGTGCAGGCTATAAAATTACTCAATTCTTCAAAGATCTTGATACAGTAAACAAAACAAGATTATCACTTCGTTGTTTTTTCTAAATGAAAAGGCTTTAGGTAGTTATGGTTTATGTCAAACCAGTTTTTGAATAAAAATGATAGAAAATTTCCTGTATTAAAGGAAATACCAGTCTACTAATACAAACAGCACATGTCCTAATTGGGGAAAAAAAGTTATTGATTTAAATGATTTTGAAATTTTGTAAGTACAGAACATAGAGAATTTTAGAAAAATGTAGGCATCTGCCTCCGTCTTCCCTGTAACTTCCCTCTTGATAGAACGCAATTTGCATGTGCTTTAGCCTTCTCTTTCTCAGGTTAAACCAGGCAGCCCTGACCTTTCCTCATGTCATGTCCTTCTGCCCTTAATATGTCCTGGTTGGACCTCTGCTGCCCTCTCTCCATTGATACATCACTTGTGCTGACGGGCCTGGTGCAGGACACACAGTATTCAGGGTTCAGGATCACAAGTTCTGAGTAGAAAAAAATAATCACTTCCTTTGATCTGCTGTATAGGATGAATATGTGAACGGGCAGGGAAATGAGAGATCTGTTTTGAAAGCATTAAGAATACTGGGGAACCAAATGTGTGGGATATGACAAATGTACTTGGAACTACACCATTTAAAAAAATAAGCAAATTGGTTTTGCTCAATCTATTGATAACTCTACAAGCATAGATTTATAACTTTAAGAGAAACATTGCTGAATTTCATATATCTTCTGAATAGTGATGCCAAAATCTTTATGTAGAGATAGCTTTTATTTTAGAACAGTGAAGCCATAGCACTGCTAAACCTGTAGCAGTTCTGCTTCTGACCACAGTGAAAGCACAATCAAGCCCCAAAGAATTTAATCAAGGAAAACAAAAATCACATACCATGTCTTCTTCCCAAATTAGCAACATTTGTCAGTGCCAGACAATATTTTTTTTCATCCACTTCATTGCAGTCTCTTTTGTAGTGAAATCAGGTGTTTATCAGCTGTGGTGGTCATGTGTGCTCCAGAGATCACATCATTCCTTGGGGTGGGCATTGCATGAAAGAACTACAGCCATATCAATAGGATGATGGTTTGCTTCGGAAAATCTGAGCTGTCTGGATTACTCTGGAAGTGAAAAGATGCTTTGTTGTCATTCTCATCATTCTTCTATCTTGAAACAACGCTACCAGGGTCTGTGCCCAGTGCCTGTGCACTGGTCTGGGGATGGTGAACAGAACTGAGGGGCTGGGGAGGAGAGGGCAGACCCTGGTCTCATAACTCACCCCAGATTTTTGGTGCTGGCTCATTCAGAAAGTTTGAACTGGCTCCCCAGCTGGATTAATTTTGGCTACTGCAGTTTATATTTGAGGTTTATTTTTATCTATTACTAATTTCTATGAAACTGAAAGCAAGAGTAGTGTAATTGTGAGGAACTGTTTCTGAATGTTACAGTAAGAAAAGTGCCTGCAGACTGTACACAGTATTATTAATTATACTTTTTAAGGTTCTCTTAGCATTCATCCAATTTCTTTACAGTAATGAATATCAGACGAGCAGTTAATTACAGTGGTACCATTTTTGTTCCTCACCTCATTATCTCCGTCTTGCACTCTGCTTTTGCACGGCTGCCGGCTCCCCAGCCGCAGGCCTGGCAGAGCGGTGCGAGCCCAGCGCCAGCAGCACCGTCGGCACAGGAATAGAATGGCAGATGGCAGCAGGCACTATTTATAGCTCTGGCCAATCTGCCCGAGGTGAACGATGCTGAAGGAGTCTGTCAGGATTGTTTTTGGCTATTAGGGGACCAACAAGACAATTTGGTGGGGGTGGTGGGGTGGGGAGGGGAGGGGGGCAGAATTTGCATTCCTCAGAAGCCACCCTGGAAGTGCAACAGTGGAAGCTGTTTTCTCTCTAATTCCTGCCCTATCTCCACGAGTCGCCCTGCACCTTCCAAATACAGTCTCCCTCACAGCACTGGTTGTGGCTGAGCTGGAAGAATTTATTGTTCTGTGGAAGTTGTGCTGCCATGGCAACTCAGGCACATGGAATTTTAATTGCAAGGCACAATATATGTTTATGAAAATAATAAAAATGCTAACAGGGATGTTTTATGTTTTTATTATATTAGTGGTATCTTTTGTACTGTGTTTCTCACTCCTGCTTTTTTGCACAAAAGGAATTCAGTGGAGTAGAAGTTTTAAAATTAATAATTTTACTGTTTTCATCATGAAGTTTGGAGGTTTTGTTGTGTTTTTTTGTTTTTGTTTTAATCAGATCAGAGAAAACATTGTTTTTTCAGTGTTTAGCCAAGATATGTATGGTTGATTTGGGGTTTGAGGGCATTCAGATCAAAAGCTGTAAACATTATTTCATACCAAAGCAGTGGAACTTGTGCAATCAGATACATGCAATCCTGAAAATCCAGGCTTTGGGCTGATAGGAGTCTGTGAAAAGGGAGAATAAGGAGAGAATATTTGAATTTTTGTATTAGCCAAGAAAACTGGTCTTACCTTCCAGTTACTATTGCCTTTTTGGTGTTGTGCAAGTGTTAGCCAGGTGTTCGGACCAGTGCCCATGCTGCTATGTGACAAAGCCTCCCTCATCTTCCCTCGGTTCATCCTGCAGGACAGCCATGTTTTCATAGAATAACACAGAACTGGAGACACAGTGCTGTCGATAACTCAAAATGGAGGTGTAATGCACTGTACATAATCATCTGGAGGTGAATTTTCTTACTTCATCTTATAGACAGTTAAACTGTCAGTTGTATGGTTTTGGGGTTTGGGTTTTTTTTTACTGTAAGCATCCACTAATTCTGTCTTCTTTCGAATAGTTAATACTATTTGTTATGAAGTAGGTTATATTTTTATTTTAAAAAGAATTAAAGGCAACCCAATAAAAATACAGGCTTTTTAGTTTGGAATTAAATGCAGCCCTGACATAGTAAGTCTGTTTGGTTATTCCACATGTTTTCCTTGTTTCTCTCTGACCCTCAAGCATGAAGATTTTAATGCTGTAGCTGCTAGTAAAATGAAATGTCATCTAACTCATTACCATGATTTCTTCTGGGTATGCACAATATATGAATTTAAATGCTAATGAATGGAGTTTTTTTAAAGTGTGTTGCCTTGTGAAGTTTCTTTTAAAAATAATAAAACTGAACAAGACTTCTTCCTTTAATAGTACGTGATACCAATTAAACTTTATATTGGGACAGGAAGGCCACCTACAATTCAATTATACGTATATATTTCATAATGTGCTACTACCTTTCTCAGGTATTCACAAAATACTACCTCTATTACAGTGCATTGTGCATTTAATGTGCTGGCTTAATGATTTCATTGCTGTATGAGAGCTTTCAAATGGATAGGAAAACAAAAATATATTCTGCTCATTAAAGGGTTGTGTATCAAGTTCAACTTCATTAGTTTTGATTAGGACTGAGTTGGTGCCATCTGTGCTGTCAGTATTGTACATCTTCCACAGAAAAGATGAGAGATTTGAAATCCAGTTCTCTCATGGTGTATTGCCCTCTTATTTTGTGTGGTTTCGTACAAAATTAACTTGGCTGGATTCCATTTCTTTGTAGCTGAGCTTTTTATTTTTGGCTTCAGTTACCTGGCAGTGGAGTCTTTGGGCCAAGTTTTGATCTTATGTGCCTGACTGGTTACCATGTAAATTCTTTTTAAAGCTTCAAATCTGTTGGTTTCAGTGCATTTTCAAAATTAAGAAATACTGCAGTATGTTATCGCCATGTTTAGAAATACATTTGAAATACCGTTGTCTGACATAACACTGAAATACTCCTAAAAATATTTCAAGGAAGAAAATAAAACAATTGCTAGAGATGCAGACAGTTTTCTTGAGTGAAGAGCTAACTAGTGAAAAAACAGTTGTTATGGGGAGCACTGGGTGAAGGTAGGAGGTACTTAAAACTCGTTACCAACTTTTAATAGATGTAATCAGCTACCAAGAGTCAGGCAAACCCTATGTCTTTATTGTTTACAGATGACCATTCCTACAGTGCTTCCTAAAATGGAATTATTTGGATTTTTTTCTTTAAGTGATAGAAGTGAATGTAATAGATACACAGGTAATCTGGGAGATTCTGTGTCAAGCCTGCTAATGAATGGTGCCAGGTACTGTCTGAGTGCTTGTTGCAGAAAGCAGCTTCTGTGCTAAGCGTTCTTTCCAGTACTTTCAGTGGCAAAGGATCTTTAAACTTTGTCCTACATGAAATATTATGTGTCACAGAACTGCTGCTTTTTGAAAAGCTGATAGATAGAGAGTTCCTTGATAGCTTAAGCTTTTCTGAATTGGGGTGGCTGCAGTCCTGACCTCTTGCCTGCACTGACTTGACTGTTCCTACCTCCTCTGCTTTTCCACTGCCACTGGAGCTCATGTGAGCAGCTAGGAAGAGACGTCAGGGAGCTGACCTGGATGGAAATTAATGATATATTTTTCCTCTGGGGTAGCTGTGGCCTAGATTAGTTCAGTGTATGATCAGATAAGCGCTGGTACTGTCTTAAGGGAGTGTGGAGATGCATAGCCGAAAGGGAGGAGCAGCCCAAGGCTGTGGCAGCCTTAAGGCACATACAGTGCGGTTATGATGTGCTATAGTACTGCCATACAGTGCTTTAGAAGTGGATGGCTAATTGAGGCAGAGGTTAACTTGCCCTTTGACTTGAAATGATGCTCAGTAGGTTTGATTCCCTTAATTTCAAATAGGATTGTGATTTCTTTTCAAGGTTAAATTGCCATCACTTGGCCTCACTAAAATTACTTCTGAAGTACAAAGCACTCTTCTACAAGTTATCAGTCCTAGTTTTTATGAGTGGCCATGCAGGTTGGAGATCCACACTTTTCCATAATAGCAATTATATCATTATAAATTAAAAGATTACTTTTCATCGTTCATGTAACACACACCCCTTGAGGTCTTGAAAAAAATTAGTAAAGTAACAACAGAACCTGGGCAGTATCTTTAGTGACTTAAATCATCCCTTGGTGTTTTCTCTAGCATAAAAAACTTCTTAAAGTGTGAGTTTTAGACAATTACTGAATTCAAAGAATGCTGTTACTTCCGTTTTATTTTGGTTAACTGGAATAAATCCCTTTCTCTTTGAAGTGATATCAGGGTGGTAACTGCCGTGCAGTCTCATGTGTTCACAGTGTCAAGCTGTAATTGTTGCCTGTCCATTTGTAAGAGGTTCTCTCCTCCTCTCTCTGGGAGCCAGCTATAAAATTGGTAGTAAGCCTAATGAAGCATGAAGAATTATTGGCCTACAAATTAACAGTTAAGTACTTCAGTGTTTGGGGTTGTTTGGTTGTTGGGTTTTTTTTGTGAAGATCCAGAAATACATGCTTGTCTTCTCAAAAACAACTCGGCAACATCATTGTCATGTTTCTAGGTAATCCACTAGGAAATAAGTGTGAAAAATACCTTTGAAAAATGCTTTTACTTTGCACCTGCAATGAGAATAATGCACTTCAGTCTGCATTTAAAGTGTGTGTTCAGTGTACTTTGGATGTGACATTTATGTGTTGGTTGTCAGTTTTGTATTATTTCACAGAGACCTCTACCATCTCTAAATGCTGCCGGGTTTACTACTTCACCCATTGATCATCACGGTGTCAGTGATGAGTGGGAATAGTATTTTAACCCATACCAATGCACTTCGTGAGCATTTTCCTCAGAAGTTTCCCAATACTGTTTAATTCTCACTTGCAAGGTTCCTCCTATCATTCTGTCAATTATTAATGAGGTCTGCTCTTGTAGCATTTGTTCATAATGAATAATTTCAAAGCCAAATAAAAGACCCTCTGCAAATTTAATGTATTGCCCTTTTGTAGTGTGCTATTCTGCTTTCTTGGAATGGCGCACGGGGGAAAAAAAAATCCAAAGCAAAAGCTATTTTGTTTGAAGTTTTATGCATTATGCATATTTCTTCTATGAAGCCACAATATGTGACATATCTAGGATGACTAAGAATGATAGGTGATTGTGTGATTTGCAAATGGAATAACAAATACTTCTTTTAAGTTAGTATTTTATATATTAGTATTTTGGTTTTATATGTTAAAGGACATACAAACGAGAGGGTAGATCAGGAAGAATTACAAGAAATTCTATGCCTGGAAGTAAAAAGCCTACTTTAACAAATAGTTTAAAAAAGGAAATACTTTATTTTGATAATGTGCCTTTTTTACTTTTTAAATTATGATTAACTTATTTTTGCTTATTTTGCAAAGAGTAGTATCTTAGACCATAATTACACAAATGAGAAAATGTGGATTGGTTAATTATATGATGGGCCTGAGAATTAGGGACAATCACTGCTATCACGTTGCAGTCCTCTTTCTTATAAACCGAAGTTTTGGTTCATGGCTGTATCATGATGTTTGGGTTTTTTTTCCTGTTTGTAGCCCAACCTAAAATGTGCTTCATGGAGAAAGATAATCATTAGGTCAGCTGGGAAATATGCTGGTTTAACATGTCACCCGGACATCATGAATCTGCAATTTTTGTGTGTGTTATCAGAGAAAGGGTGGAAACACCATCTGCCCTCTTCTGGGTTTGAGTCATCTTTGAGGCTGAAATCAGGAGTACCAATTGTATGGTCTACCCTTTCTTCTCTTTCTCCCCACCACTTTGATTTGTGATGACCTCTTTAAACAGTAGAGTATATGAAGTAACATAGGGTAACTTAAAAATTACAATCATGACATTAGATATGATAGATCCCTGGAATTTTAAAACTGGAACCTTACCTTCCCCACACTTTTTTTTTTTTTAATTGTCATATCATTCAAATTTCCAGTTTTATCAATACGTAATCGACACTGCTTCTCAGATTAGTCAGAACTTTTAATTCATTTTTCTACTGCTCTCTTTGAAACACAAAATTTAGTTGCAGGAAAGGTGCAGAGATAATTTTATCATCCGTCTTTAGGCTGAACTTCTGTATTTTGTCTTTTTTCATATGACACAAAGCAAGTCTGAACTAAAAATAGCAGGCTGTGAACTTTAATGATGTTAACTGCTGATTGAGCCACTGTCACACTGCATGTTTTTAAGACCAACAATGTGCAGAGAGATTTAATGGAGTTAAAAAAGTTAGATAAAAGAAAAGCTTTTTCAGTTATAAAACTATCATCTATTAAATTAATAGCTCCCTACCTTACTGAGATATATAATTTGGGTTTTTTAAATTTTCATTATTAATAGGATACCATACCAGTTTTCTGATAGTATTTGCATTAAATCAAATACTTCTGCAATCTTTGGATATAATATATTTTCTGATTAAGAGAAAGCTTGGGAATATGGTAGCTGTCATGCAGAAGAATACTAAGCAAAATTGAAGGGTGAGAGACTCCAGGTGTTCCCTGGGCATGCATTTTTGGTTTGCCTATAAATAGCAATGTGTTTATGCTTACTGATTCTTTGCAGAATAAGCTGCAGGTACTTAATGGAAAACTTGCACCATGTTCTGTTTAGACTCAGATCTGGTTTTATATATTTTTGGTGTTTTCCATCTTTTATATTCTATCTTGATAGACATTTATATAGTGGGACATTAATCTTTTCTTTCTGCTTAATCTCTCCGTGAGAAGCTGTAACCCACTTCTCTGTAACAGCA